ATGTAATAGTTAAAACTTTAAAATGCTGGACATGAACAGAGGATGTATCTAGTAGGAGGGTTTTAAACCAAAAGTAGAGAACAACCCAACGGGTAATTAAAGTGCTTCTCAGGGTATTTTGCAGGGTAAATGCTATTGGGTTGAAAGGGAGTGGTTTTCACCACCTCTCAAAACCCACAGTGAGGATCACCATTCTTTTTTTGGCCGTGAAAAGCCAGACATCACTAAGGGTACTACCAGACAGGCAAGAAATGCATGCCACCCAGACTTTCCAGGTGGGTGTTTACATTATATCCCGGTAACTACTAGAAGGGCATGCAACCTCTTTGGAGCCCCCCCCCCCCAAAAAAACCCCTTAAAATAAAAAAAGGTACTCAGCTGGTGTTCAGGCACCAGGAGGATTCAAAGACCACCTGAATGGTGGCCGGGGAGGGTTTTTTTTACTTTAAGCATTGTTTTGGGGGGCTTGGGGGGAGAAGTAGGTGCTATCCCACACCTTTGGGCTTCAGGAACCAAAAGGTGTGAGATGGCTATGGAAAGGCCCGGATCTAATGGAGATCTAATTCTAAGGAAATTATACTGTAAGTGAAACCCTGGTTTGATCCGAATTTGTTTTTACCGGAGGCATCCTTTGGACGCCTCTGGTAAAACTGAGAAGGTCTCAGTTCAGTGGTGTGTATGGCTTATACAGCAAGGGCAACGCTGGTTTGATCTGAATTGATTTGGTTTTACTGGAGGCGTCATTTGGACGCCTCCAGTAAAACCGAGACAGGTCTCAGTTTAATGGCATGTCTGGATGGACCCGAACTTCCTGGATCCTTTCCATTTTAAAAGGGTTTTTGGAGGAGCCATTTGAACAGAAAATAGTAAATCATCAAACTACAACCATTTGAAGTAATTGTTTTTAAGCATACCTGCAATGTTAACATGGAAAGAGCCTCCTTGAAGACTAAGTAAATACAGTTGCGCGTACCCTGGGCAACGTTTCTTGTAAACGGCTAATCTTTCCAACCCAAAAGTATTGTTTTACAACATTTTTATTTATGCAATGCCTTTGACACTAAATAAAAAAACTTTTTAAAGAAAGCATTTTTATTTGACACCAGAGTTAAACAGACCAACTACATCACCTTGTTGGATCAATGTGTTTCCTAATTATCTACTTTACATTTGTCACCTCCTTCTTTGGGCTATATATCATGCACCTTCTGAAATGTAGGAATTCAAACATGGTTGGTTCATGAAAAACCCTATAGTTACATTGTATTAGATTGCATTATATGTACATTCCTGCATTCCTAGTCTTCATTTTCCAACCCGAAGTTCCTATTGATTATAGAACAGTACTCATAGCCTGTTCTGGTAAATCCTTATCATCTGCAGGCACTGGCTCTAAATTTACCTGTGCCACACTATTGGTTTCTTAATCCTATAATGTGTGGCTTGCCAGAGGTATTATACACTCAGTCACCACAACGAAAGCTTTCCTGAGCAAATATTTTTGTCTTCATGATTCTTCCAGTCTTACTAACCAAGAGCATACACTTTCATGTTAGGATAGCTAGGGATGAATGGAATTGTTTTTTTGTTTTTGACAATTCCTTCATAATATCAACAGAAATAACTACTTTAAAAACAGAAATGTTAGAAAAAGTGGAACTGACACATTCACATCCAGCCAAAAAGATTAGAATGCCTATTACTTTAATGTTTTGCTATGAATCCATAGGTTTCACCATGTTTGCGGTGCTGAATTATGGCAATATTTTTTAATTGAAAGGCTATTCATCATTAACAGCCACATGTGAGGCACATATGATGTAATTGTCTCCACGGTATCTATAGAAATGGCCAGTGAATATGTCATTGAGAAAACTTACCAATATTCACACATTTATTTATAAATTTAAGCCGCTTTGAGTCTCCTTGTGGAGAGAAAAAGCAGGGTATAAATAAACATAAGAATAAACATTACAACAACAACAATAATAACAACAATAACAATAATAAATGAAACTGATTTTAATGAATGAGAGAGAAAGTAAAACTGTCTGATTTGTCCATCCTTTTGGACAAAACTGTGTAGTTGCTACAAACACTGGTGTTAATTTGTGACTTTCTCTATTAAGAATTTTACAGCAAGCCTGGGAGCAGATATCAATAAATAATTTAGCATCCTTCGTGCAGTATTAATGATTTGGGGTCTGTTTGGGTTTTTGGACAAAATTTTGCAGAAATATAGAGACAATAGCTATGAAGAAAAAGCGTTGTCCCATAATAGTACAGAAATCATATTACCTGCAATGATTTCATCTACCAAATTTTGCTTTCAGGCCGCATAATTCAATGTAAACTTTGTCAACACTACACAAAAACCTTGTTTGCCAGACACCCATTTGCTCAATAAGAATCCAGTGCAGGCTCCAGGGTCTACATATACCATATGGCACTGCTGCCAGGGGAGTTTCAGTAATAAAAAAGGTCAGCCACAGTAAATACTTACCATCTGTTCAGAAACAAGAGGGATAATAGTTTCATGGTGACAGGAGCAATTGGTCATGTTCCCACTGAGAAATAAATTTTTGCTAAGAAATGATGATTTATTATTTTACACGTCATTTAGTAAATAGATTTTACTGAGTCTAAAGGTCCGCTTTGCTGAGAATTGATACTGAGAAAGAGGTAGTGCTGCCAGAAAGAATTACGCAGAATTGTCTTGGTGATTTAGAGCTGACTGTCAAGAGGTGAGCCACTGGAGGACACAATGTTCAGCAAGTGACCCTGGCTGGCCAAAGTCTGCCATTTACACAGCTGAGAGATTATTCTGATCTCATAAATGAAAGGTTTTCATATGTTGAGTTCCATACATTACGTTGTTACAATGTATGTATATGTCCGTATCTCTTACAAGATTTGTTTAACTTCCAGTTTGCTAGTAAAATTGAATTATCATGTTGTGAGATGATGCATGTCTAAAATGTGTCACCACTATGAAATGTTTTTAAAACTCTGCCTTAAACTACCTTAAAAGAAAATGTTACTATTCAGTCAACATACAGGCATGACTCAAGTTTATTCCTGGAAGTGTGTGAACAGAAAATATGTTTTCACGTAAACTCATGGAGACTAGATACCTGGTCTTTCCTGGCAGAAGGAGAAGATCATGCCATGAATATTGTAAAGGTCTAGAAAAGAGGTAGTAAAATTGGGACAGGTCATATGGAAATAGGGAAAGGTCTCATCTCTTCCCCCTTTCCTCCTAAGAAGCAAAAAAACATTCTGCCCAGCAGACTACAAATCCTTATGCTGTAAGAGTATGGTCTGTAACCTTCCTATAGAAAACCATTGCCCTTGCTGGTAAATGTTTAAATAAACGTATGTTTATACCAAGAGAAAGACAATTATGCTGGGGAAAATGGAAAGAAAAAGGAAGAGGGGGCAACCAAGGACAAGATGGATGGATGGCATTCTTGAAGTGACTGGATTGACCTTGAAGGAGCTGGGGGTGGTGACAGCCGACAGGGAGCTGTGGCGTCGGCTGGTCCATGAGGTCACGAAGAGTCGGAAACGACTGAACGAATGAACAACAACAACATGTTTATACCAAGCTCAACTAATCTAAGTTCTGCATAATGTAGGCCAATTGTAAAGCAAATGTTGCATGATCCTATTCTTTACTATTACCCAAGGGGATAGTGAGGCTGAAATTTGCACAATTTCAAGAGATTCCCACTTTATACACATGAACAGCTTGTGTAAGGATCCATGTAACTTGTACTGTAGAGTGAGTCATATGAAGCCTAGAGCGAAACACAGAGATAGAGTTATTCAGTAAATAAGAAACCAGCTGCAAGTGCTATAATCTCTATTTACCTAAAGCAATTCCTGAAGTAATTAATTGGGTTTTTTTTTCTGTAAATAGAAATCTTATGCATTTTGCCTGCTATGTAAATATAAGAGTTTCATGCTTGTTTAGAATGTCATGGTTTCTGTTTTAGTAGTATAACCAGGCTGTTCTGCTGTTCAAAATGAAGAGACAAACAATTTTGCACAACATCTTGCTCAAAATGAAGACACAAACATCCTCCTCACCTTTTGTACAGTGCTATCCAGAAAGATTCCTGCTTCATAAATTCTAAGGATTTCGGATGCAAGTCACATCTTCCTAGTATACTGGTGGCTTAAACTAAAATGGCAAGGATCGAAGGAAATAGATTTGCAGTCTCAATCTGCCAAGAGAGATGGTCATGGGCTTTTACACCTGCCAAGCAGCAATTTTGGAGAGATAAAGAACATGTTGGATGGATGTGAGGGAGTGTCACAAATAATAAGTGACACTACATGTGTCACATGAAATTGCAACATGGTATGTGTGTGCACACATGTTCTTCTAATAGCTGCCAGAAAGTGGCATTTTAGGACAGTGGTCCTCAACCTGTGGGTCCCTAGATGTTTTAGCCTACAACTCCCAGAAATCCCAGCCAGTTTACCAGCTGTTAGGATTTCTGGAAGTTGAAGGCTAAAACATCTGGGGATCCACAGGTTGAGAACCACTGTTTTAGAAGATAACACACAGTGTCGCCTGCAATGGTCCCAGAGGCTAAAAGTTGGTCCTGTGGGACTTCAAAAGTTGCCCAGTTTCAAGATTACATATCACTCTACACCTTGGTTGATATAAAAGAGAAGCAGAACTTCTAGTCTTCTGTGCTGACTGGAAAAGAAAAGGAGACGGAGTGTATTAGCCCAAGACTCACTATGCCTTATCTTTAAAACATTAAATAGTAGCATGCAAGCAAGACTTCAGAGTGGAGGGAAAGTCAAAAGTGCAGCAAAGTTAGCTTTGTGTGTTTTCATAATATGAATGGAAAACTAATGATGTGTGGAAGAAGAGTTTTATCAATGGACAAATTGGTATCACAGCAGTCACTTGCTATGAATTATGTTTCTTTGTTAAATTTGGTGTCTTTCTCTCAATTCCCCTTATCATTCTGTTCATGAAGATGGACCCTATGGACTTACCATAAATACTGACAAAGGCCAGAAAGTCGGGAAGGTGTTTACACTTGATAAAGGCGAAGCAGTCCAGCTTTACTGCTCTGCAGACTCCAACCCACCAAATATTTATTCCTGGATCCGGAGAGCAGACAACTCCACACACCCCATTAAGTACGGAAGATCGCTGGAAGTTGCAGCTGAAAAAGTGACACAGAAAACAGAAGAATACACCTGCAGTGCTTACAACAACATGACTGAAACCCAGGCTGAAACCCATATCCTTGTGATAATTATACCAAAAGGTAAGAATGAATGATAAGCACTCCAGCATTGAGCCAATGTGAAAAAAATTCCATAAACAAATATCTTGTCTGCTAAAATGTATACTAGGGAAAGGAGGAAGAGGCTCTAAGGGATGTCTCGCCATATTTAATCTTCTTTAATTGTAATTTCCTCCATCCATGGGACTCTGGGAATTGTAATTTTCTGAGAAGCTCTTGGGATCTGTAGCAAAGTCATGAACATCTTCAGTAGCAATGGTGTGTGCCATCCCGCTCCTTTGAGCTTTTCAAAGCCCAAAGAAACGGGATGGCTGTGGGGACTCACCCCCGGTGTCGCAGAACGCGAACCTCTAAATCAGTCCCCACAGGCCAAATACCTCATTAGATCCAGGTGTTTCAGTAAGGCCCAGATCTGATGGTATTTAATGCAGAGTAAGCCAGGGAAAGCCCAGTTTACTCCACATTAATTTGCTTTTAGCGGAGACGTCGTTTGGATGCTTCCAGTAAACCCGAAACCATTCCTGCATTTTGGGCCTGTCTGGATGGGCCTTGAGATATAGTACTAACAAAGATATATGAGTGAAGTTTGTATTCGTGTTTGGAAGGGAGGTCACCAGAAAATACAATTACCACACACACTTACTTAGACTTTCTCTACTATACCCATCTATTCTGAGGATTTCTATTCTAGCAGATCACAATTTTCTAGATGACTCTCAGATTTTTGGGTTAAATTTTAGAGATGTTTCATTATTTGTGGATAGAATAATTCAAAGTAAACAGTTATCAAAATAGGAACTAAAAGGTAACCATTTAACAGAGACTGATCTACTTTTTTTCTTTCTTTTTCAATTTACTGTAATGTGTTAAGTCATTGACTTGCTGTATTACACAACCCCTGTGTTTTTGTCTTTGGTTTTGTTCTTCAATTTTTTCTTGGCGGTGGTTGTTACTCCCATTTACATGTACTGATGTGTAGAAATAAAACTTTATCCAGCCTTTCTCCTGGAATACGTACATTTGGAATTGTATGGTTAGTGAATTAAACAAGACAACTCTTAAACTTTTATTTTCTTTACCAGGATTGAAGGTGATATGGCTAGATTTTTAAAAATGCATATTTTTCTCCATGAAAGAATTAGCATATAAATATTATACAATTACTGTAAATCCTTTAGTCCCTTTGCGATATAGAAAAGAATGTTTGATATAATGACGGCATAGAATTACCTATATATCTTTTTCAGATCCTGTAGCCATTTTACTAAAGTAAACTACATTATCATTTTGCTTTCTACTATATTTCACAAGCTTGTTTATATTCTACAATACAAAGACCTGAGCGATTTGTGCTTAAGATAAACATCGACAACAGCTGTCTATTGTATAAAGGGATTTAATATAATCACTACTGATGAAAGTTCAGTTCTTTCAAACACACTGAAATGAAAAGAGATCACAATTGTACAATAAAACCAATAGAAAAAAAATACTTTGACGCCCTGGAAGGAAAAACACAAACAAAGCTCTTGCATTGCATTAGAACAAAATTACCATTCTTATTCCAAAGAGTGTAGCGGAACTCCATGGAATATGAATCTAAAAATAGCCATTCTCAAGTTTTTATTTTGTGAACAACGAAGATAGCAAAATCTGCAAAATTTATGCTTGGGTTATAATGCCTTCCCTTCACTTTTGACTTGGTGGTTAAAGCTATTGAACTCTTGTGCACTTGTGGGATCCAGTATAAGTATCCTGGCATATATTTTAAGATCTTGGTCTGTGTGAGGAAAAGAAAAATAAGCTTCATTCAAAAAACCAAGAGCTGGAAGCTAACCTGTTACTATAACAAAGGTGTACTGCATGTGGTAAGAAAACCTAATCTAATCCAGATACACCCAGTTCCTTTATCTAAGGTCATGCTATGGACAAAGTCACCTTTTTTATTCCAGATTCTAGAACCATTTTCCTCCCAACAAAACGTAACTAGTGAAATCAAAAATGTAACTTTCAGCAAGCTCTGGTTTTATATGCCATCAACTTTCTTCTTTATGAACCTAATATTTATAGGTGGTAGGACTGACCAATCCATTAAGTAAAATGAGACAGCTATCTCAGGTTTTGTTACCTTAAATTAGCAGCTAATTCTTATGTTGTTGTTGATACTGCTCTTGTTTGTTTTTACTGCCAGCAAATGGGAAATGTTGTGGGCTAACCTCACTGCCTTGTGAACCTGGGCTTCATATCCTAAAGTGGACAAAATGACTCAAATGTAATACAGAACCACATAACAGAGGGGAAAGAAATAGGACTGATTTCATATCCCTTATAAGATGTGCTATTTGAATTCTGGGTTCCTATAGAGGGAACATGAATTTTGCTAATGTCTCATTGATACCATTCATTCCCAGGATCAAACCAACACAACAAAAGAAGCCTTAGACAAGACTATATGACCTTCACGATAACCATGGGCCTAATGCAAGTCACCTTGGAGATCAAATTTCAGGGACTTACTTTTCGGGGGACAGCTTTGGAATACCTATGCTGGCTCAGAAGTTTAGAAACTATAGTCCCAACTTTTCCAAGTTCTGCTTAAAAGATATTAGACGGCTACAAAACTCTGTGGCAGTAAAATAATAAAATGAAATTAAAAATAGATACCTCCAAAGATGTAGAATTGTTTAGTCTTGGTACAAATTAATAGGAAATTATGCAGTTGCTTAAAGGACAATGTTTTTTGTTAAGGTGTATACATTTCAGACCTGCATGCCTATATTAACATTGGTTCATTTGTCTGTGTGCATTAATTTAAGGGATATCATACATGTTTAGAAAAAGTCTTCACCTAATATTAGGCTAGACTACAGAAGAATCCTCTATTTTGAAATACAATTAACAGACACAAATTGTTCAAGGGATTAATTCAGAATTTTTAAAATATCAAGTCAGACTGGCTCCTAACCAGTGACCTTCAGACTTTTATTTTCACAAACTATGATTAACAATGTTAATGCTTTCTATGATGTCAATATTAGTACACTTTTAAAAGACTTCGATTGCTGATAATTTCTTATCTTGTGAAGCAGATGACAATGAATAACTCAGTCATAAATACAAAAAGCATGCAATACAAACAATACCAGGTCAGTTTTCTGGTAGCCTACACTTTGGCTTAAAGAAACTATATAGTACTATAGGTCCTTTGGTAGATCATATAGTGCAAGTATGCATATTGGTTAGAGTTTTGAGAATGTTACTTTCAGGGAGACACAACTCCAAGAATCCCCCACCCCAGCTAGTAGGAACACTACCATCTGGGAGCCAATGATAGCTAATATTAGCTTTATTCCCCATAATGTGCCCATCTCCCTTCTGTCCTAAAGCTCTCAAATTAAATAGGGGTCATAAATATGTGTACATTTTTCTTGGCTTTAAAAATAAAAAGAAGTCAGGTTGAGTACAAGAAACATGGAAGGGAAAGGGAGAGACAACTGTTTAATACTGTATTTCCATTCTGATACATATTTAGTCTCTGAGATGACTTCCAACTTCCTACTTGTGGAGGGAAAAGATTTGGGGCTGAGGGATAGACTGGTACTAATAAAATGGCTAGAGCAGTGGTTCTTCAAGTGTTTCTGACTTCAGATCGCACAATTGCTAACAGCAGGTAGGCTGGCTGGAAATTCTGGGAGGAGATGTCCAAGATAACTGAAGGACCAAAGGTTGGGAACCACTGGACTAGAGGGACACGCCATAAACATCTTTTTCCAGGTGACACATCAAACAGGATCTAGTGATCTCTCTTTATTGAGGTGGACTACCCAGATCTGAAACTCATAGGACTCTCCCCAAGAGCACACAAAAAAATCCTCCCTTCTACATGACCCTGGAAACAGGAAAAAGAGTTGTCTGAGCAACATATTCTTTCCTTTGCTTCTGCTGCCTGAGCCCCCCCCCCCCCCCGGGATTGAGAGAGGAGGGGTACAAATCTCTGAAATAAATAAATAAATACATTCCTCTAGCATGTGGCCATTGTACATCTGGATGCTCACTACTCTAAATTGATGCCAAAGTTTCTTTAACATATTAATTAGAAATGAGGAACTTTATCTATGGGACACAGTTTTACTGATATTGAAAGTGAGCCAGCAAATTCTTCCTGCAAATTTCTGAAGCCATGGCTACAGATTATCTCTCTCATATTTACACTTGGTGAGATATCAGATTATATGTATTTAACTAAAGACAGATGCTTCGGGAGACATTTGTAATTTGTCCTGCTGCCAGGTAAAGTGCCCGTGCTTGCACAATTTACAAAAAATACAGATAACAAAATTATCGGTATATATACAGCATTCTAAGTACTGCATTAAACATGCTGCTGATGCACATGCCTATTCTGTATCACATATAATGTAAAATAATGCAAAACATTTAATACATTTTATTTTATATTTTGTATTTTATTTTATTATTTCTATTTTGTTGGATTTTATGAAGTTAATATCTTTGCATACCTTAATTCATGGAAAATCAAATCTCCCCACCTCAAATAGTCAACTTCCATCCCAGAAATAGGAAACGCATAACCTTGAGTTTTTTCCTGGATTGCTATTCACATAAATCCTCAATCATAATAATGCCTGGTTAGGGTTGGTATTCCAAAGAAATTTTTGAAAGCCATATATCTGGCTCTACCCTAACCTCTGTTCTTTTGGTCGGGGAGGAATCACCAGGCTTGCAGTGATTCTTTACTGTTGGGATCATGTTTCAGGTTTCCCCCCTATTGTATGTGTGCAAGCAGACTTTGGGGGCCATTGCAGGAGGAATAGTGACCTACAGATGTGAGAGCTGGACCTTAGGGAAGGCTGAGCGAACGAAGATTGATGCTTTTGAGCTGTGGTGTTGGAGGAAAGTTCTGAGAGTGCCTTGGACTGCGAGAAGATCAACCAGTCCATCCTCCAGGAAATAAAGCCCGACTGCTCACTGGAGGGAAGGATACTAGAGACAAAGTGAAG